ATAGCGGTTAGTCGCCGGTGATAAATAGGATGCGATGGAGCTCGCCGGCTGGCCGGCCAACTCCAGAGACGAGAGATTGCGCGGCTAGGCTTGCTGGAGCCAGCGCAACGAGGCGCGTCGGGTGGTAGTAAACTTCAGATCGACCGTGTCAACACCATGAACAGAAGCACCCACGCCATTCCCCATCAATACGGACCCGTGGCTTGTGGCCTGGTAAGAAGAAAACAATAAAATGTCAGCACACACATGAACACCTGTACTTGTGTCCACCCACCAATCGGTGGGCTGAAACACTGAAAAACAGTAAATAAATTACTGTACCCAGATGCACCATTTTCATTGTTGTCCACAATCATGTTGACAGACTTAGAGTCCTGTCCTAGCTTCTTGTACTTGTTTGGGCACTTGTTGGCCCAATGTTCAACCGAACCACAAGTAAAGTAGCCCTCATCCTTCTTATTCTTCTTAAAGGTCTTCTTACCCTTCTTATTAAAGTCGGTATTGTGTTGGACACGTTCTTTTCATTGGGCTTGTGGGAGTTATGGTTCCTCTGGTTCACCATGTTGGCGACAGAGATTCCTTCGACCCCTTTTCCGTGTGAGTCCTTTGCCCTTGAATCCCGCTCAACACTCAGATGGTCGATGTCATCCTCCACAGAGAATTCACGCCTCTGATGTTTCAGAGTGGTGGTAAAGTTCCTCCAGGAATTAGGGAGCTTAGCGATTATGCAGCCCGCAACAAACTTGCCCGGTAACTCGCACTTAAGAAGTTCAAGCTCCTTAACGATGCATATTATCTCATGAGCCTGCTCCAGCACGTGACGGTTTTCAACCATCTTGTAATCGTGGAACTGCTCTATAACATACATTTCGTTCCCAGCGTCGGTGGCCCCGAACTTAGATTCAAGCGTCTCCCACAAGTCCTTGGCGACATGCACATGTAAATATGCGTCGACCAACTTATCTCCGATCACGCTAAGAACTACTCCTAGGAACACGACGGTAGCTTCCTTGAACGCCTTCTCCTGTGCAGGAGCAATCGTTCCTGAAGGAACACCGGTGACCCAGAACACGTTCATAGCCATGAGCCATAAGGTGGTCTTTGTCTGCCAACGCTTAAAATATGTATCGGTAAACTTATCCGGTTTCAATGCTGCGGCAAAGCCACTCGCCGAAAAATTCCTACACATATTAGGTTTTTGGATTGCTGACTAAATAGGCAATTCTTCGATTAACTTAATCCACGAGTAAATCACTAGCATGGAATTGACACAAATAAACGCATACTAATATTCAGTCAATCAAGCACATACTACGCTAATTACAGAAAGATCCGTGTATAACGCTACCATGGCTAAAACAGAAAACAATAGGAGCGGGATAAACGAATTATACCCTCCAGTAGGCCATGCAGAGGCCGCGATAGTGGTGGCGGTGGCAGTGTCCTCGGTGGCCTTCTTGTCGGCCTTAAGCTTCTCAGCGGTGGCACGTTGGGCCTCGATGGACATGGTGATGATGAAGACGACGCAGACATAGGGTAGTGGATTGGAGGCAAGCAGTCGTGTAGTCTGTTGGGGAACGCAGTAATTTCAAAAAAGTTCCTACGCACACACAAGAGGGGAGAGTACCGTCTACGAACCCTCGTAGACCGTAAGCGGAAGCATTATGACAACGCGGTTGATGTAGTCGTACGTCTTCACGATCGCCCGATCTAGCACCGAAGGTACGACACCTCCGCGATCTGCACACGTTCAGCTCGGTGATGTCCCGCGAACTCACGATCCAGTAGAGCTTCGAGGGAGAGTTTTGTCAGCACGACGGCGTGATGACGGTGATGATGTTGCTACCGGAACAGGGCTTCGCCTAAGCACCGCTACGATATGACCGAGGTGGATTATGGTGGAGGGGGGCACCACACACGGCTAAAAGATCAATGATCAACTTGTGTGTCTATGGGGTGCCCCCCTCCCCTGTATATAAAGGAGTGGAGGAGGGGGAGGAGGCCGGCCTCCTAGGCGCGCCCCAAGGGGAGTCCTACTCCCACCGGGAGTAGGATTCCACCCCTTCCATGAGTAGGAGTAGGAGTGAAGGAAGGAGAAGAGGGGGGGGAAGGAAAGGGGGACGCCGCCCCCTTCCTAGTCCAATTCGGACTAGAGGGGAAGGGGGTGCGCGGCCTGCCCTGGCCGCCCCTTCCTCTCACCACCAAGGCCCATGAGGCCCAATACACTCCCCGGGGGGTTCCGGTAACCCCCCAGCACTCCGGTATTCGTCCAAACTTACTCGGAACCCTTCCGATGTCCAAACATAGTCATCCAATATATCAATCTTTATGTCTCGACCATTTTGAGACTCATCGCCATGTCAGTGATCAAAACCGGGACGCCGAACTATCTTCGGTACATCAAAACACATAAACTCGTAATACCGTCTTCACCAGACGTTAAGCGTGCGGACCCTATGGGTTCGAGAACTATGTAGACATGACCGAGACATGTCTCCGGTCAATAACCAATAGCGGAACCTGGATGCTCATATTGGCTCCTACATATTCTACGAAGATCTTTATTGGTCAAACCTCATAACGGTATACGTTGTCGTTGTTCCCTTTGTCACCGGTATGTTACTTGCCCAAGATTCGATCGACGGTATCTCAATACCTAGTTCAATCTCGTTACCGGCAAGTCTCTTGACTCGTTCCTTAATGCTACATCCCATAACTAACTCATTGGCTACATTGCTTGCAAGGCTTATTGCGATGTACATTACCGAGAGGGCCCAGAGACACCTCTCCGACAATCGGAGTGACAAATCCTAATCTTGATCCATGCCAACTCAACAAACACCATCGGAGACACCTGTAGAGCACCTTTATAATCACCCAGTTACGTTGTGACGTTTGGTAGCACACAAAGTGTTCCTCCGGTATCCGGGAGTTGCATGATCTCATAGTCATAGGAACATGTATAGTTATGGAGAAAGCAATAGCAACAAACTAAACGATCATCGTGCTAAGCTAACGGATGGGTCAAGTCAATCACATCATTCTCTAATGATGTGATCCCGTTAATCAAATGACAACTCATGTCTATGGTTAGGAAATATAACCATCATTGATTCAACGAGCTAGTCAAATAGAGGCAAACTAGTGACACTATGTTTGTCTATGTATTCACACATGTACTAAGTTTCCGGTTAATATAATTCTAGCATGAATAATAAACATTTATCATGATATAAGAAAATATAAATAACAACTTTATTATTGCCTCTAGGGCATATTTCCTTCATAGTCGCTGCCCAAAAACCTATTCTCCCCTTTCCCGTACAAGAACCAGAAGGGCGGGATTTCAGAGACCTGGTCTCCCGTCGACCGTGTACGCGGCAGACGGGGTGGAGTCACCGGCGGCAGCAAAGGAACGATGGTGGGCGTGCGCGTGAGCAGATGTGCTATGTTTATGGCGGCTAGGGTTGGGAGACACCGCACACAGAGACGTGGGCTCGACCCACGTCTGAGTCCATGACAGCCCACGATCCGACGTCTCAGATCATGGCCCAGCTCTCAGAAACTCTCTGTTAGTGACTGGCAAAAATAAGCGCGTAGGTGTGGGTTCGGCTCAATCCCGCAACCCGCGACGCGTCGTGATGAGGCGAGGCGGGCGGCGAAGGAGGAACGCGCAAGGGCCTCTTCTATTCTCAAGCTCCAATAGCATGTAGAAGAGAAACCCTTATAAAGAGGTCCAACTCCTTCTCCACTAGCGGGGTGGGACTAAACTTCCCACTACACCTAGTGCCATATACCCACATGGACCCTTAGAGATTTTTCAGAAATTGCTATATGGTCCTAAAGCCCATCCCAAATTTCAGCAGTAACGCCGGCGACAACATGGACGCCGGCGCTGAGCTCACGGGTGCGGCGGCTAGCGCGGTTAGAGCAGGCGCGCGAGCTAGAGGGCGGGAAGGGAAGGAGGAGGAGCTCATGGGGGTGTAGCAGCTGGTCAATGGCTTCGGGGACGGCCGAAATGGGGTTCGGCGTGACGGCGGATCTCCCAGACATGCTGGCGCGGCATCCCGTCGATGGTGGCCACGTAAACAGAGCTCGACCGGCGGTGGATACCCTCGGGGATGCTCGAAATTGAGCGCTGGAGAGAAAGAGGGACCAGAAGGGAGGGGAACGACAGAGGGGCTCGAGGGGGCCTTCCAGGCGAAGGGGGAGGGCACGGGGGAGACTGTTGCGTGGTAAGCACGAGGTGGACGCGGTGCGTGCACGGGCGACACGCAGGTCCTCCTACTGGCAGGGGGTACGAGACGCTAGCGAGGAGGTGGGCTGGGCCAGCTACCATATAGTAGGTTGTGAGTCGAGTCTTTCTCTCTGTTTTCTATTTTCTGTTTTCAATTAATTATTTTGCCATTGTTTGAAAATCAAAACAAAATTCAAACCAGTGCCAAAACTTTCTATGAATATTTATGTGACTTAGCTGGACCTTTCCAAATGCACATAAATATTTCAGAGACATTTGAAGATATATTCTAACAATAAGAATATAAATTCAAATTCAAATACAATAGTGATTTAAATTTCAAGGCCCGAAATATTTGGTAAAAATGTTCATCATTTTTGGTTGGGCACAAAACCTTTGCCAAACTATAAGCAACATTATTTAAGGTAATTTTGGAATCATTGAATGCATTTTCAGGGTTTTTGCCCTTTATTTAAAATTTGGAGCCTTCAAATTTCCTCATTTCAAATTTCACTAAAATTAAATATGATGCATGATGCTCTTTGACGCAACTATTTACAAGCAACAATCTAGGGCTGTGACATCAGAATAGGTATCTCTAATATAACTTTTTCAGGTCCAAAATTTCAGTTGCCGTAATCTCCCTCTTCATATAAATCTTGTAATTTAAGAGAGAAAAGACATTAGAATGGTACTACAAAGTATTATATTTGTCAAAAAAATTATAAATAACAATAAAAGAACATAATGTAAAATGGATGCATCAGTTCCCATCAGCGACGACTTCACCCCAATGAATGCCTCGTCCAAATGAGCAAACATAGGGAGGACCAGGGCCGCGTTGGGGTGAAGGTGGAGTGTGTACTTGAAAATGCTCCAGAATAGCGCGAAGAAAGCTTGAGAAGGGCGGCACCAAACCCTTGACGAGAAAGACAACGAAAATCAAAGCGTCCGTGATGTCAACCTCCCTCGCGCTAGCCACCTTGAGCTTGGTCAGACCCCATTTATTATCTGCCCCACCCACGAAGTGTCAAACCTTGTCCAGCACCTCGGCGTTGATGATTCCTAGGAGGTGGAGGGCCCACGGCGGGGCCGCCGGTCGAGGCACTGTCACCTAGATCATTTTGTCACCATATCATTATCAACCATCTGTAAACAGAAAGGGATCTGTTTTGACGTCACAATTAGTTCATGAATACGAGACTCCTCACTATCTAAGCAAACACCATATTGTCCAATGGGTAGTGACAACAAACGTGAGTAGCGCATTGAGAGAACATTTCACATTTTCACAACAAGCCTGAACCACAACAAGCCTGAACTAGAATTCAACAATGTTATGACGGCACTCCCAGGAGTCTGACACCCCTCCTACTTCTTTGTTTTGTCATAAACCTCAATATATCTCTTCGGAACACCGTGATGTTCAACGAGGTGCTTTGCCAGGTTTTCAATGACTCCGCCTTGAATCAAGACCTCATGTTGCCCCTTTTTACCTGAAATGATAATGTGAATTGCAATGCATATACATATATCGGTTGCACACCTTCACAAACTTTTTCCCTATCAAGAAACAGGTGGACAAGGGTTGGGTACAAAGCAATAATACCTGGAAGCTCAGCTGTGGTGGTGCTGCAAGCAAATTTCTTTTGTAGTTCAGAAGCCAAGGAGTCAGCATCCAGCAAAAAGCATTCCAATCCAGAGACTCGGGTCATCTTCTTGTTCCCTTGCCTTCTTTCTGTCATGATTTGAACAGTGCGTATGGCGCCCTTACGAATGGCCACCTCATTTCCTCTAGCTACTCTATGATGAATTTGCATACGGTTAATAAATGTTGACCCTAAATCCTTCTTGTGGATCTCACTTGGGTATGCTGAACCCTTCTTCACAGCCCCTTTGTACAGAGCATCACATAATGTAGCATCCAGAATTACTTTGGCCTTATCTGTTTGCTTGACCAAATTTTCCTTCTCCACATACCTTCAATCATACGAGAATAAAATTAGTTGAAATGTCAGAAACTTGCAGTCTTCCCGCTTTACAAACATAGAACTTGTAGACTACGAGAATCAATTGCTGTACCAGAAACAAACCTGAAAACCACATCAGACGCCTCTGATGCACTGTAATACTTCCCTGTGTCAGCGTCAACAGCCAAAAATATGGGGTTGACATGCGAACTTGGCTTATAAATTTCATCCACTTCCAGTTGCTTTGTACTGCTGCCATCGGCAACAATGTTATCATGCTGTTCAACTGGCTCCTGTACCCTCTTATGATGTTTGAAGGCCGTGTAGTCTGGATGTTTGCGACTGATACTTATCAACATGACTTCCTTTTTATGCTTGTCCTCTTTCACTGAGATCTGTAAATTTAATGGGCATTAGATAATCTTGAGGAATTTAAAAACTGGATTAGTTCCAAACATGGGTAGTATGTACTGATAATTCGTAAATTAAACTTCATTTTGATACGATACCACATTACCACACATCAATGCATCATCATCATGACTCTTTCTAAATCTTACAAGTTCGCAAGTGAACTGTATAATATAGTAAGAAAGATTAATAAGCACACGACCTTCAATCACACATGCTCTATTCCAGATGTTAGGATGAGTGTAGCACTTTTGTACCAAGTTCGACAAAACCATGTGAACAAAACCTTTCACAGGTTCCAACTGTGCAAGGAGTGCACAACCAAGAGATAGGATACATCAGCTCTACTCGACTAAACGTGCTGAAAGACATGGAAGATGAATAAATCAAACCCTAGTGTGTAAGTTAACTTCTTAGAAATCCTTAGGAACCCTGTCATGTACTCCCTCCGTTCCGAATTACTTGTCGCAGGTATGGATGTATCTAGATGTATTTTAGATCTAGATACATCCATTTCTGCGACGAGCAATTTGGAACGGAGGGAGTATCTGCTTACTTAAAGGGCTTAAATAGTTACTAGTTATCAGATACTCCCTCCGTCCGAAAATACTTGTCATCAAAGTGGACAAAAAGGGATGTATCTATAACTAAAATACATCTAGATACATCCTCTTTTATTCATTTTGATGACAAGTATTTCTGGACGGAGGGAGTACATGACAATCTAGCGAACAATAATGTATTCTCGACTATTTAATAGACTTCTAATTTACCATATAAATGAAAAAAGGACAGACCCAGTGCATAGAAGCTCCCACACAAGGTGGGGTCTGGGGAGGGATTATAGGAACCTAGTCTTACCCCTGCAAAGTGCAATGCAGAGAGGCTGGTTCGAACCCAGGATCTCTTAGCACAAGTGGGGAGGACTTCACCACTGCGCCAGGCCTGCCCTCTAATTTACCATAAATGAAGCTTAAAAGAAAAGCTTTGCCCAACTAGCTTACAAGGCCAGAAGACGATTTTGACTGCAACCACTTGGATAGTTTTTTATGTGATGACTTCTTAATATCAAGGGTAACACCTGGAGGTCTGCATGGGAGAATGTGATTTGACCTACACAGAACAGTAAACAGAAGATGAACAAGATAATAGTTATGCATCATAAAAAAATGCAGGTTATAGGAGAGTTGGATATCTTGGTGAAGTCACCCTGCCAAATTATCATTTACTAGATGTAGAAGATCAGTACCAAGATCTATTTTCTCAAAGCAATGCCAATATTTACTGATGTAGATTAGCGTGAAACATGGTTTTGTTGACTATCAAAAGACTTGGTAATGAGACTCGGTATAAAGCTGTGTGAATAACTCATCTCAATCATATATGACCGGGTGGAAAACAATTAGTGTCGCATGAACCTACTCAGAAGGGACAGAATAACAAATTGTTCATCAATGTGAAATTACTATATACACATACCACAATATACTTCCTGGCATGGGGAGGTCTTTATCTTTTATGTTCGTGTGTAATGCTTGCAGAAGGCATATGTCCAAGAGAGAGTCAATTTCTTCAGTAGACAAATGTTGATGTTCCTTCTCCTCGGTCTGTTCCTCGGTGGTTTTCTCTTGAGGCAAATTTAACTCGCTCACGCCAGCTGTTACATTCTCTATGGTTTCACTGTTAATGGCATGATCTTCAGTAAGACACTCCGAGACATCAACAGCTGCTTTGTCTTGCTTTCCTTCTGAAGGATCTTCGGAAGAGTCAATATGTTGAGAAGCGGAAGCAAAATTAGGATCTTCAATAACCATGTCATCATAAAATCCTTCATTTGGAACATAACGACCATCAGCAGAAGCCCTGCAATAATATTTAACAAATTATTTATAGAAGTGAAGATGAACTCAGGTGTGCATTAATAGCATTTAACTTGCCATAACAAATCTTTATAGTAATGTGCAATCCGCAAAGCCTTGCCACGTAATCCTGCCTTTAGTGCTTCAGTATTGCTCATAGTTGTGGTCCCAACCTGTGTAGAGCGTGTAACAGAACCAGAAGTTGAACTTGTACATCTTTGGCAAGATTACTTAATAAAAACTACGAACCAAACTAGTGCAAGAGACCATGAGAAACTTACAGCAATTGGAGCAGGGTTACCAGGGACTTTAACTGACCATGGCTGGCCAGCTTGGAAAGAAGGTAATCCTTCTGGAGGTACGCTGATACCAGGAAACATAAGATCGGCGCCACCAAGAATGAAGTGTGAAACTTCACCACCCTTAAGTGTAAAAGCTGGCAACAGATAAGGAACCTTCCAGAGTGCATAAACTGCAACATTTTCACCAATTAAATAATGCTACAAAGTAGAGAATGAGGAATCCACTTATCTTGAGATCTAAAACACACAACAAGCTGTGATCACATTTTAGTCCAACCATAACTTTATCAACAAATTAAAGCACATTAAAGATGGATCCCACAGTTTGCAGCTCAGCTATCCCAAGCAGAAGCATAATATTTTCACCTATTTGATAAAAACAGAAAATTAAGCCATTCAAAACAATAAATAGACATATCAAAAGTTCCTCTTGCTGAAGTAATAGTCATACTAATTTAGGCGCATGTTGTCTTTGGCTTAGACACATATGCCCTCCTGTATTCTACAAAGTTCGGCTTGGCTTTCAACGTCAGTGCATTATTTGTTTCCCTACATCCCTACTATGGTACCCATACACTCTTGGAAAAAGCAACTTGCAGAATGATAGCACGTCAACAAGAATTACTACGTACCAATTTACCATTCCAGTCACTTTTCATGCAAGCTAGAGTGTGTAGTTAGTGGCGCATAAAATTAGAATTAATTGAAAACCAATAAATCAAACAAAGAGTTCAATTGGTTAGAAGCACATGAACTATAAAATTAAAGAATCAATTATTATAATAGTTAGAAAACAACAGACTGAGGACTACACTCATTGCTTGAAGCATTAGCATGTTTAGATTCTCTTCCTAAATTTTGTTTTATACATGCACAATCAAAATAAGAATTTCAAAAATTGCAATAACAAAAAAGACACAACACAGTGGAAATGAGAAGGGTTAAGATTACTACTCCCTCCGTTCCAAAATAGATGACCCAACTTTGTACTAACTTTAGTACAAAGTTGGGTCATCTATTTTGGAACGGAGGGAGTAGATGAAAATAAATGTATTACTCTGCAATCTGGAAATAAAAATAACCTGTTGGAAACAGCTCATGGCCTCTTCCATCAATGTCGAATAGCATTGGCAGTTCGCCCTCTATGCCATAAACAAGAGTCCGGCTTGGGTACTTAGCGACTGTTATCTCAACCTATCCACAACGCAATATTTTCACAAAGTTATGAAGAAGATATAAATGCAACAAATAATAACTAAGTTTGAATGGAAAGATATATACAGTTCACTCTTCCGTAAACTGGCAACACCACAAAATATAAGGTAGATAATAATACAGTTGATAATAAACAATACAGGGCAGTTAGATAGATGGGCGGGGATGAATGCTGAAAATTCACAGCTATTGCATGTAAAAGTAGACCAGTCTATCTATTGTAAGTACAATTATATATTTGATGTAATATAACTTGAACCACTTGGCGAGCTAAAACCATGTAACATATTTTCAAGACTTAATACCTTTGGAGGAAGCATGTTATAGGGTTATACTGTTATTACTCCACATACTGATAAGAAAATTCATTACCTTTGGAGGAAGAATGGCATCCAGATCATCATCAGATGCTTGCGGAAACCTTTGCTTGGCGGTTCTTCTCAGCTTCTTTTTGTCAGCGCCTGACAAACGTTGTAGAGCTTTTGCATCAACATTCTTCTTGAACATGGTTTATGGGTTATCAAACAAGATTCCAGGCTGCAAAAAAAAAGCATCAAACAGGTCATCAAATGGAATATAGACCGGTAGAGCAGTACAGACATCCATCAAAAAGTCCTGCTGCATTCAAACTTCTGGGGGGGAGCAGAACATAAGGAAACATGTAGCAGAATTCCAATTTCGTTGTACCCTATAATAGTCACAAGAGCTACATTACACAAATCATAACCCTCTTAGGACAATACCAGTTTATCATTCCAACCAGCCACAATCTGGAAAACCTCCATCTTCTTGGTTCGAAGGAAAATAAGCGAAATTGGCAAGCTCTCCACGCGAATAGAATAAGAGAAGTCAATTCCATTGCATCCCAAAACTTCGTACTTCCGGAACTACAAGGAAGCTATGGATTCACAGCGGAGAGACCACACCAATATCACCGACCCTATCCAATAACTCGGAAGAGGCGGCAGATTGTAACAATCGACTGAAAAGGAAAAAAAGGAGGGCAAACTTTTCACCGTTCGCCCAAGCAAGGGCCAGCGAATCGAGAGACTAAGAGTGATGGAGGAGATGAGCGAGGCGAGAGACAGAGAGACAGAGAGGGAGGAAGGCTTCGTTACCGGCGTCGAGGCGATCGGATTGGAGGAGCGCGGAGGCGGCGATAGGACTGGACGGATCGGGAAGCTTCCGGGGATGGAAACCTCTCACAAGTCCAAGGGCAAACCCTATCTGGCGCTCATCTGGGCCGGCCCATCTAGGTATTTTGTTGTGTGTAAAGCCGGCGCTGTAACAATCGCTAATTAAGGAGTACTCGTTGCAAAGAATACTTCACTTTCTCGGGTCGCGACAAGTGGCGTACATGCAGCGCGCCACTTGTCGCAATCTGAGAGTTTTCCCTTTTTTCATAGATCCATTTATTCAAAACGTTTTATCTCTTAAACCGTACTTTCAAATCTCGAACTATTTTCACCATTGGATTCCTCGCGTCGAGATCTTCAAAATTAGATTCCATGTTAATAGGTTTTGACAAACTTTTTTTCACGAAAAAAAAACGGAGAAAAAAACCTGGCGAAAAAACCGAACCGGGAGCACGTTTTTTCCCTTTTCGAAAGAGGCACGCCCGTGCCTCTCACAAAATCACAACCGTGCCTCTCGTGGAAGCAAAACCATGACTCTCATGGAAGGAAAAAAACAGAAAACGCGTTTTTTTCGTTTTCGAGAGGCACGACGGTGACTCTCGCGAAAGCACAACCGTGCCTCTCGCGGAAGCAAAACCATGATTCTCGTGAAAGGAAAAAAAATAGAAAACGCGTATTTTTTCCCTTTCCGAGAGGCACGGCCGTGACTTTCGCGTAAGCACAAGCATGCCTCTCGCGGAAGCAAAACGGTGACTCACGAAAGAAAAAAAACAGAAAACGCGTTTTGTTTTTCCCTTTCCGAGAGGCACGGCCGTGACTCTCGCAAAAGCACAACCATGCCTCTCGCGGAAGAAAAACCGTGACTCTCGCAAAAGAAAAAAACAAAGAACGCATTTTTTTCGTTTTCGAAAGGCACGGCCATGACTCTCGATAAAGCACAACCGTGCCTCTCGCGGAAGAAAAACCGTGACTTTTGTGAAAGGAAAAAAAAGAAAACGCGTTTTTTCGCGCAAAAATTTTTTTTCAAATTTTTTTTATCGAAAAGCTAAGAAAGATCGGGGAAAACCAAAATGTCGAAAAAAACTGGGAAAAACCCCGTTTAAAAAGCCGAAAACGCGTGTGGAAAAATAATAAAATAATAAAATTTGAAGGGAGCGTCCAGAGCGCGACACGTGGCGAATGGCTGAGAGCGCGCCAAGTGGCGCTGATCGTTGTGAGGCTCCCGAAGTAGCGCTCGTTAACTAGTTGCTCCCTGGAACTGATTCAAACCCGCGACCTCCGGACTTAGAGCATCTCCAGACGCGTCCCCAACAAACCCTTTCCAGACGTTTTTTTCGCGTCGGCGCAGAAAAATCGGCCCAGTCACGTCTCCAGGAGCCCGATTTTCGTCGGCCTGGGCCGAATTTAGCGCCGGCGGACTCAGGCCAAACCCGGCGCGTTGGGGACGCTCGGGGGCGCCGGGGCAAGCGATTTTGGCGTGAAAGAGTCGCGGGCCCGCCGCGTCAGCGACACCGTGCGTCGTCTTCCCCGAACGCCTGGGTTTTCTGCGGGGAATCAATGGCAAGGCTGCCGCCGGTCGGCCTTACCATTGATTCCTCACAGGCGGCGCGTCACGGGGCGGCGCGCCGATGCCCCCCCTTCCTCGCACGCATACACACGGGGCGACGCCGCTATATAAGCCGGTGGCCTCCCTCGCCTCTGGCCACACCAGCCACACCAGCCCTAGCCTGCCCTCCACCTTTCCCGAGAGCCGCCGCCGAGCCCTCCCTCTCCCTCCCTCCCTCCCTCTCCCGATGGCCGAGCGATTCCCCGGCGATGAGGCCGCAGCCAACGACTTCGGCCGCTGCTCGCTCCGCGAACAGGAGTCTTGGCTCCTGTTCCAGGCGAACATCCCGGCGCCGTCGGACATGCGCGTAGGGCCAACGGGGTGGAGACTCAGCAACGGGGGAGTGCCCATTCCCCCGTTGCCTGACGCCGTGGCGAAACCGGGCTACTTCGCCGACGAGGTCGATGTCGTGCGCGCCTCCCTCACCGACGCCCAGCTCGCCCTCCCCGAGTACACCGCCGACAACATAGCGGCGTGGACGGCGTACTTCCAGCGCCGGCAGCAGCAGAGGATGGCGTCCACCAACGGCACGCCGGTGGTGGCTGGCCTGAAGAACAGCGAGGGACGTCACCTGTGGTGGGGTGTCCCCGGCCGCACCCTCGAGGGCGTTCTGACGTACCTCGAGGGCGGCAATGACCCGCCGTTGGCATACCCCCTGGCGAGGGCGGCTGCCATGGCCACGGCTCACCGCCGACGCAACGGGCAATGGTTGCCCAGGAGGTTCGGCGCCTCCTCTTCTTCTTCCTCCTCCTCCCGCTCTTTCTCACACTCGTCCGGCGCTTCGGCGCTGCTCGGCATCAAGGTCGAGCCCGCGGCGGAGACGCCGCTCGGCCGGCGCACTCGCAGCATCGGCATCGTCATCAATGAGGGCGGCCGGCGCGCCTCCTCATCGGCTCCTCCGCGCTTCGTCAAGCCCAAGACGGAGCCGTACCTGGCGCCAGTGAAGACGGAGCCGGGCCTCCCCGCGGTGAAGACGGAGCACGGCGGCGACGTCGAGCTCGACGACGACGCGACCCTAAAATGGGCGCGCGCAGACTCCCTGAAGATGGCGAGGGAGCGCCAGTGCGCCGCCCTGCGGCGATTCACGCAGCGCCGCCGAGGCCGCGACGAAGGAGGAATCGTCGTCATTGAGTACAGCGACGACGCCGCCACGCCGCCGCCACCAGCTCACATAGGCGACGCTGGTCAGGGGTCCACCAGGGACGGCCGCGTCAAGGAGGAGAAGCCGGACGACGACGGCGGCGACTACTCCGCTTTTAGCCAGTTCTTTTTTTAATTATACATATTATGTAATAAAAACCCGCTTTTTAATGTAATATATGCCGAACTTCGCCGAACTTTGAACTTTGCTATATTTTTTAATTTTTTTGAACGCACCTGGGGACGGCCCTGGGGACGGCGGCTGGGGACCAACTCGCCCCCAGGTCGATTTTTTGCGCCGGCTCACCCCCTGGGGGCGATTTTAGGCGCCACCTGAGGGGCCAACGACTGAAGATGCTCTTCGAAACGCTGGTGTAACAACCACGCCACCATGCGAATAATAAAGGTAGGAGGTGTATCCGACCATAAAGTTTTTTTAACATCAGTACAGACGCAAGCGCTCATATATACGCGCATACACTCACCCCTATGAATGCGTACACGCATACCCTACCTCTATGTGCACCTCCGAGAGACTGAGCCGACATGTCATCTTGAACTTTATGAAGTCACCGTAGGCGTCTCGTCGTCGACGGGAACGTCTCCTCCCACTGAAAGTGCATCGCCGGAAATCCTGAAATAAATCCAGAAATAATGCGAGCACCAGGACTTGAACCCTGATGGGCTGGGGATACAACTGTCCCTCTAACCATCCAACCACGGGTTGGTTCGCATCTGACCACAAAGTTGGTGGATTACTTCTTCCAAACCTAGCTAGCTCATAGCATCTCCAACAGCCGCCGAACGCGCCACGCGCTAAAAACTACTTTGTCGCGCGTCCATCGTCTGGTTTGGCGCGGCGGGCAGCGCTGGCTCCAGCAGCCGTGCTAAAATGCAGCGCGCACGACTCTCGCACAAACAACATATGCATTCCAAAACAAAAGCAAAAAGATCAAATACAAACAAAATAAATCAAAATAAATAGTTCAATTTCGTTATTACAACTCAAACATTTATCGTTCAATACAATAAATAGTGTAATAAACACAACAAATAGTTCAACAATACAATATCGAACACATAAATCATGATGCTATTTGTCGTCCATTCCATGCCACCACTCCTCAATGAGATCTTTCTGAAGATCATCATGCGCTGCGGGGCGTCGAATGGCATGATAGGAGGCAACAAAACGGGCCACCCTGTCACCCCTCCGTCGCACTCGCACGGGATGTCCCAAGAGCTCACACTGAGAGTAGTCTACATCTTGTCCACGCTCATTTTTGATGATCATGTTATGCATGATCACACAAGCATGCATGATGTATCAAAGCATTTTTTGATCCCAAAATCTAGTCGGTCCTCTCACAATAGCAAGTTGGGCTTGCACAATTCCAAAAGCTCTCTCCACATCTTTTCTAGCCGTCGACTGAGCATTATGGAAATCAAGATTTTTCTTACCTTCCGTCTTTTTCAATGGCTTCACAAAGGTTTGTCACTTTGGATAGATGCCATCCGCTAGATAATAGCCATGATTTGCTACAAACTGCACCGGTGGTAAATCACCATTTGCAATCTTATTCATCAACATTGATGTCATTCAAAGATCCAGACATTCCAAAGAA